GGCTAAAGTCCTCACCTGGAAGGTACCATGATCCCACTTGGGCAACGGTTCTAATCCCGGCAGCTCCACTTCCCATCCCTTTCCCTGCTTGTGGCCCGGGAAAGCAGTCGAGGATGGCCCAAAGCTTTGGGACCCTGCACCTATGTGGGATACCCAGAAGTTCCTAGCTCCTGGCTTCGGATCGGCATAGTACTGGCCGTTATGCTCATTTGGGGAGTGAATCATTGGATGGACGATCTTCCTCTCTCTCTCTCTCTCTCCTCCTCTCTGTATATCTGACTTTCCAATAAATAAATAAATCTTAAAAATAAATAGAAAGAATAATTTAAAAAAATAAAATAGGGACCGGCTTGGTGGTCTACCTGCTATCCTCGCCTTGAAAGCACTGGGATCCCATATGGGCACCAGTTCTAATTCCAGCTGCCCCTTTTTCCATCCAGCTCCCTGCCTGTGGCCTGGGACAGCAGTAGAGGATGGCTCAAAGCTTTGGGACCCTGTACTCACATGAGAGACCTGGAAGAGGCTCCTGGCTCCTGGCTTTAGATCGGCTCAGCTCTGATCACTGTAGCCACTCGAGGAGTGAATCATTGGATGAAAGATCGCCCTCTGTCTCTCCTTTTCTCTGTATATCTGCCTTTCCAACAAAAATTAATAAATCATTAAAAATAAATAAATAAAATACTAAAAAGCGAAAAAAGTTGATTTTAATTTAGGGTTTGTTGTATTGGCCAGTATTTTTTTGTTTCATCTCTAAAATGCTGTGTTACTGGTATATAACTTGTTCACTTAGAAACATTAAATATTAGACCTGGTATGGTGTCCTAGAGGCTAAAGTACTTGCCTTGAATGCGCTGGTATCCCATATGGGCGCCAGTTCTAATCCCAGCAGTTCTATTTCCCATCCAGCTCCCTGCTTGTGGCCTGGGAAAGCAGTCTAGGTTGGCCCAAAGCCTTGGGACCCTGCACCTGCGTGGAGACCTAGAGGAAGTTCCTGGCTCCTGGCTTTGGATTGGCAGAGAACCAGCTGTTGTGGTAACTTAGAGAGTGAATCATCAGACAGAAGATCTTCCTCTCTGTCTCTCCTCTTCTCTGTATATCTGAATTTGCAATAAAAAGTAAATAAATCTTTAAAAAAAGAGAAGTTAAGCATTATCTCTTATCTTTCATAGTGTGTTTAGTGCCTTGAGATGAGTAACAGCACCTGAACTCCCCTAGGGAGCATCTGTACAAGGGCAAGTAGGTAGATGAGGAAACTTTCCTTAGTATGACTCAGAAAAGCTTAGATGCGAGTTATACAACACCCCCATGGTATATGAGCTATTATCATAACTTTCAGAACAGACTTTACAATCAATCTCTTTCACATCTTTTCCCTCTCCCCATTGATGTGTTTTTCAATTAAAGGCTTCACCTATTACTTTATAAGCTACAGTTCTACCAATAATGTTTATTAGTCGGCTACACTCATCATTCATCTACTTCCATATTGTCTTTTCTTAAAAAGATTCATTTATTTTTATTGGAAAGGCAGATATGCAGAAAGGAGGAGAGACAGAGAGAAAAATCTTCCATCTGTTGTTTTATTCCCCAAGTGGCCACAATGGCCACAGCTGAGCCAACCCAAAGCCAGGAGCCTGGAGCTTCATCCGGGTTCCCCATGTGGGTGCAGGGTCCCAAGGCTACAGGCCATCCTCAACTGTTTCCCAGGCTTCAAGCAGGGAGCTGGAAGCGAAGCAGTGTGCCGGGATTAGAGCCGGCACCCATATGGGATTCTGGTGTGTTCAAGGTGAGGACTTTAGTCGCTAGGCCACTGTGCTGGGCCCCATATTGTCTTTATTATTTTCCCTCTTACAAGTTCTCTCGGTTGATTTTTCCATAGATATAACTGATTCCTATCTAAACCTTTCTTCAGCCATGGCTAATTTTTCTTCAATGTTTAAAATTACATGCTAAAATAAATGGTTGGATTTGCATGTTTCTGAGTTTGAATACAATAATACTTTGTAGTTTTTCCTCCTATTCTTAGCCTTCATCTCCACCTTTATGGTAATTTCTAACTTCAAAGATTGAGACTTTTAAAATATTAGTTTATTTTTACTGATATGAAAGGCAGAATGACGAGAAAGAGATTGTCCACCCACTGGTTCATTGCCCAGATGCCTGCACCACTCAGGTCTGGCCTGGGTGAGGGCAATCCCATGGGTCTGTCACGCAGGTGGCAGAGACGCAGTACATAACCCTGAGCACATGCATTACCTCTGAGCCCCAGGTACATGAGCTGGGGGAGCTGACTGGTAGAGTGGCCAAATGAGGGCTTTACAACTGCACTGCCAGAGGCTGGGACTTTTAAAACCTCAAATTCAAATGGTTCGTCTCCCACCTCCCTTTAAGATTCATGTATTGGAGAGACAGAGATAGACACAGAAAGACAGAGACCTTTCATCTGCTGATTGACTTCTCAAATGACTGCAATGGCTAAGGCTTAACCAGACCTAAACCACCAGCCTGGAATGCTACCTGGGTCTCTCATGGGGGCTACAGGGGCTCAAATATTTGGGGCATTTCCCACTGTTTTCCCCAGCATAATAGCAGGGAGCTGGATTGGATGTGGAGTAGTTGAGATGCCACATTGCAGAAAGCAGCTTGACTTACTGTGTCACAGCAGCAGCCCAAGAAGTGGTGTTCTTAGGTTGGTACTAAGCTGCCACTTTAAGATACCTGTGTCCCACATCGGAGCGCCTGTCTGCTGAACTACAAGATGACACATTTATGCTATCTAAATTTGTTATGTAAGGGATTCCATTTGTGGTACTTTATGTGATTGCCCTAGCAAATAATGATTTGTTAGCTCATCTTTTTTGATGATTTATTTATTGAAAAAGATGATTTACTAAAAGAGGAGATAATATAGAGCGGTTCTATCCAGTGATTCACTCCCCAAATGGCCACAACAGCAAGAGCTGAGCTAGCCCAAGGACTTGGGCCATCCTCCACTGCTTTCCCAGGCTACAAGCAGGGAGCTGGATGGGAAGTGGAGCAGCCGAGACATTAACCAGTGCCCGTATGGGATGTTAGTGCCTGTAGGCAGAGGATTAGTCAACGAAGTCATTGCATCAGCCCCCAGAAATCCAACTTATTATTTGCGCGTGTGACCAGAGATTACAAGCCGCCAGGTCGGCAATGCTGGGAACAACAGCACTAACGCTCTAATATAAAAGACACTCAGTCATTTTGTCCCAAATACATTATTTGGCCATTATAACACTTTCCTATTTGTGCTTCCCAAGTTGTCAGAAAAGCCTTAGTTTTTGGTTTTTTTTTTCCTTTTGGAGGGAAGAATTCTGATGTATTGAGCACATTAAGTTTAGATGAGAAAGGGGCTGAAACACTATTTGCCAGATTTTCTCCTCAGATATACAAGTATTTTAAGGTAACTCCCAGGAGAATGAAGAAGGCATCAATTCGCTGCCCTTCGTTCTTGGGTCACTTCAGAATACCCTCTCCTCTCCCGCTCTCGGGCACCTGTCTGGAGCCTCTTAGTTCTAATGGGACCTAAGGTCCAGCTACCTCACTCCCAGGCCTTGTGACTCTGTGCCTCCCTAAGAGCCTTAAGCATTCTAATCCTTGGGACAAATCCTAATCCCATCACACAATTCCAGAGGCAATAATACCTACTGTCCTCCGTTCCTGCTTTAAATAAAAGCTGACTAAACGCTCGCATGAGAGAAGCAGGCTGAACACCTTAAACATGAAATAGTGCTTCTGAAGAGATGCTTTTGCCAAAACCCCATTAGGAATATGTACCGAGGAGCTCGCCTTGGCATTCCTCATTCATGTTTCGGTCACAGAGCCCACAAGTCTGACAGCACCTGTTCACCACAGCCACAGAACAGTCAGTCATCGCTGATTGCTGGGATTATGTCAAAACGGAGAAAACAAGGCATGACTGCAAACAGGGGCTCTGGGCAGTAGGACAGTCTACCCCTCGACCACTGTGTTCCAGGAGCGGAGAGCTTTGGGGTTCCAGCCCTGGATGGAGGGAACAAGGAATATTTCTGTTCTGCAATGCAATGTCTGACAGTCACCCACGGAACCCCTATTTACGACCACACTGAAAGTTCAAGGCACAGTGATGTGTCCAAAGCGAAACACGCCTCTCACACTGCATTTATGTTTAACTAATTCCTTTTGGGAGAATCTTCCTCCCCATCTGCCTTCCAAACACCTAATTTTTAAATAAGTATATTAAATGAAACTTAGCTCCCGCTACCCATGATTTTATCTTTCTCCCTACTCCATTTTTTTTTAAAGAGCATTCGTTTTTATTAGAAAGGCAGATCTCCACAGAGAAGAGAAAAACTTTCCGTGCGCCGATTTACTGTTCCAAGGGGCCGATCCGAGGCCAGGGGCCTCTTCCAGGTTTCCCACGCGGGTGCAGGGTCCTAAGGCTTTGGGCTGTCCTCGACTGCTTTTCCAGCCCATAAGCAGGGAGCTGGATGGGAAGTGGAGCAGCCGGGACACGAACTAGCGACCTTAGGGAATGCTGACGCTACAGGAAGAGACGCACTTAAATAGCGGAACTGACCGGAGGTTACAGGGTTCACAGGGTGCCGCAGTCCGATCTGGGAAGCGCCCATCAACAGGGAGAATGTGCTGCTAATCTCATAAAAGCAAAAGAATGCAGGAGGACCACGCACACAACGAAGCGTTCATAGAACCTCAGAGCACATGCAAGCATCGGCGACAACGTGACGTAGGAAAGCGCGCCTCCCCATCCTGGAGGACGCAAATGTCCGTCCCCAAGCGCGCACGGTGGGGCCTCCGCAGGCCACGCCCCCTGAGGACGGGGCTGCCCCGCGCAGTGCCTGCCGCGCGTGGAGGACGGTCGGGACTCGGAACCAGCAGCACGCGCGGCCCGGCACTGTGAGAGCCGCCCATGTGGTGGGCGGGAGTGCGCGTGCGCACAGAGAGTCCCAGGAGCGGCTTAAATAGCGGCCCGCGGGCCTGTCGGCCTCTTTCCTGCCGCCGCCGCCGAGCAGCGCGGAGGCGAGGCCTGGGGTAAGTGCGCTGGGCGGCGTGGCCGGGCTGGCTGGCGGGGCCCGTCGAGCTTGCTGGGCCACTAACCGTGTCCGTGTGTTCTTGCAGTGCGTTCAAGATTCGGCTTCACTCGTAACCCACCGCCATGGCCGAGGAAGGGTGAGTGCAGGCGGGCGAGGCCGCGTGGGCGCGGGCTGCCCCTGTGCCCTTGGCTGGGGCGGCGCGGTAAAGTGATGCGGCCTGTGTTGTTTCTTGGCAGCATCGCTGCTGGAGGTGTAATGGACGTGAACACTGCTCTGCAAGAGGTGCTCAAGACCGCCCTCATCCACGACGGCCTCGCGCGTGGCATCCGTGAAGCCGCCAAAGCCTTAGACAAGTACGTGTGTCCGTCTCGGGACTGTGGGGTGTGGCCGCCGGAGCCAAAGCGCAGCCGAGGCAAGCAGGCGTGCAAGCTCCTGGGCTTGGCGCCGGAGCGCTGAATGGCAGCCGTCCTGCAGGAGACGGACGTGGGAAAAGGTATCCGCGCTCGGAGCCGAGCCCCGGGGGTGTGGAGCGGGGGCGAGCACGCGGGCCTGCCGGGTTGGGATGATGACTGGAAGTGTCGGATACCCCTTCACTCCTGCATGAGTGACACCCTGCAGTCTGACGAACCCGCAGGCCAGGTGGGGAGCGCGGGCGAGCCTGGCGCCGGGGGGTGTGGTGCCGAGCTGGCCCCGCTGTGTTCTCCCTGCTCTCGGGAATGTCAGTACTAACGTGGAATTCGCGGAGTTTGGATGGTCAGGAGCCTGAGGGTTGGTCACAACCTGTGTAAAAAGTTAACAGATAATGCACGTAAGACGCCATGCAGCAAAAGGTGTGCTTGCTTGATATGTGCTGACCATTTGAGCCCAGAGCGGACAGTACCAACACTGTCCTGCTTCTGGACCTGCGTGCAAAGATGGTATTTAAGGGGCAAGAATTACTGAAGACTGTTTCTATCTCTGTGCTCAATGTGTTTCGAGTACAAGCAGTTTCATGTGCATTTACGTTGGGTCAGGGATCTGTTCTGGTGTCTGGTAGACCTAAGTTTGTGCTGCTTTTCCTTCTGCAGGCGCCAAGCCCACCTCTGTGTGCTAGCATCTAACTGTGATGAGCCCATGTATGTCAAGTTGGTAGAGGCCCTGTGTGCCGAACACCAGATCAACCTCATTAAGGTGAGTTGCCCAACTGGATTGTCTTAAAGTGCCTCTTTGTGCAGGTGCCAATGTTACAGGGGCCTGATGGAGGCTGTGCAAGTGCTAATAGATGCTGTGCGTGATGACAACTGGCTCCCTCTACTGAGCTGCCTTGAGGAAACTGCCTGTTCTGACCACAGTGGCCCCTTGCGTTTAGTTTGTTGTTGCTAGTGCTGATGTCTGCTAATAGTGATTTTCTTTTCTATAGGTTGATGACAACAAGAAACTTGGGGAATGGGTAGGCCTCTGTAAAATTGACCGAGAGGGGAAACCCCGTAAAGTGGTTGGCTGCAGTTGCGTAGTCGTTAAGGTGAGTTGGTGTTTATGGTTGGTAGAGGTTCTGCGAATTAGCCTATAATGTAATCGTGTTGAGATGGAGGTCTGTGAAATCCTGTCCGAAGTAACTCGGAAGCCAGCCCTTGAGTCTGCAGACCTGAATGTGTTTGTGCAGAAATCCTAGAAGAAGCTGGCAATAGTAACGCCATGTTACGAGCCTTAATGACATTAGTGTCATTAAGGTCCCTGAAAATGGTTACACGTAATCAAGACTGCGAAACAGAATCTTAGTAGTATGGTGTGTGGAAGTTAAGAAGTTGTTCTTTCTTTTCAAGGACTATGGCAAAGAATCTCAAGCCAAAGATGTCATTGAAGAATACTTCAAATGCAAGAAATGAATAAATAAACGTTTGGCTCATAGTTGCTCCTGTCTGGTGTTTTTATGAAGTGAATATTGCTGGTACAGAACTGTAAATGTACTGCAGGCATGCAGTGTGGCAGCTTCAGTTTTCTTTGTGCCTTGATGGTCATTGAAATGGGCAGCCAGGGTGGGTAGCTTGGGATGTTTATCAGAGTAGGTGAATTTATCTTGATTGGGTTTAGGGAAGGGGGTGGTAATGGAAGTTGGTTTGTATGGAGGTAGTTCAGTAGCCAAGTAGCAATGTCTGGCACTGAGCTAATTGAACCTTGGAGGTTTTTTGTTCTTTTATCTGCACCATGGGCCTGGGTCTATTTGCCATAAACTGGGAGCTGGTTGTGACTAACAGTTGAGCCATGAACTGCCACACTGCTGCTGGTGCCATAAGTTAATGCTTGGCCTGATATGCCATAGTGCTGACTACAGTACCAAGTTGCAGGTTTCGCATTTTGCATGGTCATTGATCTTTAGATGACTTCCTTTTTGAAGTCCATGATTTTTTTTTGGCTAATTTTTTTTTTAATTTGAGGCAGTATTGCTTCATTTCCGCAGTAGGCCAAACCTTAGGCGTTTGGGACCCTGGTTTTCCCATGTACAGGTAACTTGGACAGTTAATGGGAGCAGGCATGGTCAATTCCCAGCACAGTCACTGAGGATGGAGTGCTGGCTAGACTAGTTGGACCATGCACCTGCCAGATCACATGAGGGCTGGGCGTGGGCCATCTCGGGCTACAATGCTTCTGCTGGCCTTATTGTCTGCTGATTAGCAGCTGTCTCCTGGGCAGGGGACCTCCAGGGGTCTCCGGCTGGGTCACTTCAATTGGTGTGAGAGGGGTTGGGCCAATCCAGGCAGGGCTGGACTAGACAGCACCACCACCATCTGAGTCATAGCAGGTTGGTAGCAGGCCCCTAGGGGAACTCGATATTCCTCTGCTGGGCTGAGGGGCAGGCCAGACTGGACAAGGTAGGGAAACTAGAATGCATGTGAGTCTGGTCAGGGAGCAGGTTGGGCTGAACAAAATCAACATCGGTAGGTGGGTATGAGCTATGTGGGTTTAGGCCTTTGCAGAGGCTGACATGCAGAGAGTGGGGGACAAGGTGGTTTGTTGGGTCACCCAGACTAGGGCACAGAAGCTCCAGGCATGCAGGGAGCAGCTCCCTCCCCTTTGGACACAGGAACTGAAAACTGTCTTGCCCACTTTACACCTGACTGTTACCACCCTCTTCAGAGGCTCCAGTGTGCATCCCTTTCAGCTTTGTAAGAAATAATCCAGTTAAATGGGGATTAAGTCCATGGGGGTGAGGTGGGGTGGATTTTCTAAGCTAGAGTTGAGGAAGAAGGGAGCACACATCCACCAGTTCACTTCCTAGATGGGCTTGATGACAGTACTGAGAATGCCTTTTCTGATTCCTGGGAGTTAGTCCAGGTATCGCACCTGAGTGTCCAGGACCCAAAATGCACCATCTTTATTGCTTTTCCCGGGCCAGTAGCAGGGAGCTGGATTGGAACAGCTGGGACTTGACCAGTGTCCATATAGGACATGAGCACTGTACACATCAGATCAGCACCAGCTAACCCCTTTTTGACGACTGCAAAGTGTGAACATGGATTCACAGCTTGAAAATAACCTCATAACATTTTTAAGGTTATTCATTGGTGGGCCAAGCATTGGCCTGTGGCACCAGCATGCCATGGGGCCACCAGTTAGGTTCTTGGTTCACAACCTGGAAAAGCCATGACATGGAAAAGCTTCACATGGTACATCCACCCTAGGTAAGCCAGGCATGTCCCCCAGCTTGAGCTTCAACATGTAGTAGGGGTGGGTGGTGCCATTTAGCCCAGCCCAGGAATCCCATGTGAACAGGTGCCTTGGCCTGACCCAGAATCTCTGGTTTTTTTCCCTCTAAATCACTCCAATTTTGTTCGCATCTGCCTAAGAGTACAGTGGTCCTTTTTTTTTTTTTTTTTTTAAAAAAAAACTAAAGAATAAGCCACCGTTCTGGTATACTGGTGTAGTTAATACAAATTTGGCATTAACCAGGTCCAGAATGTCCATCTGCTGTTGCCTGCTTTGTCCCTAGCAGTGTGATACTTAGCTAGGTACAAGGCAACCTAGGTAGTTTCCCACAGCTGGGGTATGCAGAAGTCTTACAAACCTAGCAAAATGTGGAAACAGTCTTAGGGCATTCTTAAAATGAGACACTGGACACAAAATGTGTTGAGGGGTTTTCTGGTCAGTTATTTCCATAAAACTGCACATGCCAGAACATTGCTTCCTGCGGTAATTTCAGGGGCTGGGGTTCCTGTCCTCCCCTAAGGAATCTGTGGGGTGGGTACAGACCCACTCACCACTGGCAGCAGGTGGTTAGAGTAGGAGGGGGGAAGAGTGGTTGAGGCTGAAATTGAACACTAAAAGGGGAACCAGGTAGGTTCCAGTATGTTTGAGGAACATAAGGATTGGTTCAGACAAGAAAGCATAAGCGAAAGTCCTATAAAAAACATGACTTGTGTTTCAATGATGAAATCTCCAATGAGGTGTTTCAGTCAGCTTGGCAATGCCTAGAAACCAGGAATCTAAGGACTCCTTATCTATACTGAGAGGGGCAGTTTTCTAAGATCTTACCTCGCATGAAATATTCTTTGAGATATTTTTTCTTTTGCCCCATGTTCAGCAGCTATCTTCACCACTAAGTTCATAATTTGGTTTTTATAGTCCCTTGGCTTTGGAAAGGAAAGTAGCAAAGATAAGAGCTCTAGGCATATTTTCTGTTTATTTGAAAGGCAGGGAGACACACGGATTGTCATTTTCTCAACAACTATATAAACTCAGGTGCTTGAAACTCAGGAACACTCCCACGTGCTGACAAGTATGTGGTCCTTTGGCCATCACCTGCTCCTCCTGGGCTGCACATCAGCTGGAAGCAGCGCAGCCACTGCGATGAGGCTGACATGGAAGGTGGATGATCCAGGCAGCTGTTGAGCCACTTCTCCAAACTTCCACCCTGAAAAAGTGGTTTTATAATATTTTTCAGTTTCAAGTTTATGTTATGTTGTAAAACGTATACAATTTATATTTTGTGAATCAAGCAAGCTCAGTAAAATTGCACTCATGTGAAAACAATGGCTTAAAGACTGAAGATGTGCAGGTGTGGCTGCTACTGGTGCCAGGGCCACTGGGGTGCTGGGCAGGTGGGCTGTACTTCCAGAGCTGCCACAGGGTAGGATGCATCTCACTGGCCACATCTGGCACTTTGCAGAGGCCTCAGTTTCCCCATCTGCATTAACTTGTGTACCGTGCTGTATTCTGACTGTACAGATTGTGCCATGGAAACCTGGGGCTGAGCGTTGCTCTGTTTCTGTCTCAGTGGTCCTGCTTTGCATGGGTGGGGCCTGAGGTTGTATTCTGAGCCTGGGTCAGTGAGTTAAATGCACTCAGGTGACCGGAAACCAATCGTGGTGGTTCTGCCTGGCTGTGTGGTATTGGGAGGCTAAGCCAGCCACCGCAGTCCTCACTTCTGGTGATTGAGAAGTAAATGAAATGCTGTAAGGGATGGGGAGAATGGTGGGGGCGGGTGGGGGAGGACCTCAAGCAGAGCTGTTATAATAGCAAAGGGCTGTAAGCCGGCAGTGCTGTTCATGGAAAGCAGGAAGGTAAGAACTGAGGCAGGTTCCTCCTCAGAACTCTTCAACTCGAGATTTCCAAAGGACATTATTGAGCCTCAGTTTACTACCTTTGCTTGGATTTGAGCTTTGCAAATGGATTGAATTAATTAGCCTTGCAGTTCAATTAGTCACGTTTTAAAACTGAGGCAGGTGCAGGTTAAGCACAATTCGGGTTCCCTAGATTGGTTATCAGAGTGCCGGGTCGTGTCCCGCTCCTCAGCTTCTGATCCAGCTTTTTGCTAGCCTATCCTGAAAGGCAGTAGCTGGTGACTCAGGGACTCAGCTAGGTGGGCTGCTGACACTCACCTGGGAGACCCCAGGTGGTTCCTGTCTCCCACCTTCTGTGTGACACCGTTCTGGCTCTTGCAGGACTTCAGTGAGTGAGCCAGCAGATGGAAGACCTCTCCTGCTGCTCCTCCTGCTCTCTTTCAAGTAGATGAAAATGGCAAAGATGTGATTCTTCAAAAACAATATTAAAAGATGGTAGAACTTTAAAATTTTCATGTCACTTTCTATTTGGTAATTAGTAGTTTAGTGCAGTTTTCAAACTCAAGAATTGTCTTTCTGAAAAGTTGTGTTGATTTGAAAGGCAGTGACAGTGAGTGAGATCTTCCATCCAGCGTGCGCACTGCAAATGCCTGTAGCAGTCGGTAACCAGGCATGCCACCAGGTTCTCCTACGTGGTAGAAAGGTCCCAGGTACTTGAGCCATCTTCAGCTATTCCCTAGACACATCACCAGGAGGCTGGATTGGAATCAGAGATGGGGCTGGATTCTAGGTACTTTAGCATGGGTATGAGCATTCCAAGTGGGAGCACAATGCCCACCTCACAACGATTATCTTAGTGTTTGTAACATGAATTAGGATTCAATAGACCACTTCAAAGATTACTCATTTTGTTCAATTGCAGTGTATGTATGTGTATATATATAATTAATTAAATTATAAAAAACAACTGATTTCAGTGGGTACTTACAGAAAACCATAGTGATGAGTAATTTGGCTTTCCTGTCACTCTATGCATATTCTTCCTCTCTTCCCTCTCCTCCTCTTCCTTCCTCTCCTTTCCTTTCCCTTACTCTCTCCTCTCTTCCCCTCTTTATTTAAAAGGTGGAACTCCAGAAAGGAGGCAGAGAGAGAGAGAGAGTGCACTTCCATCTGTTGATTCACTCCTTAAGTTGTCACAATGGCTGTTCTGAGCTGGTCTGAAGCCAGGAGCTAGGAGCTTTTTCCCTGTCTCCCACATGGGTGCAGGGACCCAAGGACTTGAGCCATCCTATGCTGTTTTCCCAGGGATTCAGGTTGGAATTTGGAGCATCTGTGACTTGAAGTGGCACT